AACCTCTTCTATAGAAGAGGTTCTACAAATCTACAGTGCCCTTTAGAACCGGTTCCAGCTCCCTCCCTCCGCCCGTCCGCACATCATCAAGATGAAGAGCGAGAGGAGGAATAGTGAGAGTTGAAGTCCACAAGTCTTAAAGCTGTCCAGTTACAAGCCCCTTACACCGCTAACCCTTTAGAAAAAAAAACAAGAATGTTCAAACTTGACAGCTTTAAGACTTGTGGACTTCAACTCTCACTATTCCTCCTCTCGCTCTTCATCTTGATGATGTGCGGACGGGCGGAGGGAGGGAGCTGGAACCGGTTCTAAAGGGCACTGTAGATTTGTAGAACCTCTTCTATAGAAGAGGTTAGAACTGGCATGAACCCCACCCCTGGTTTTCCAGTAACTAATAAATCTGGTTGTTGATTTGTCTCTAAGCAAAAAAGTTAATTTTGCCACTAGTTCCCGTCATCATTTACAGATTAACAGAGTTGGAAGAGACCTTGTAGGTTGTCTAGTCCAACCCCCCGCCTAAGCAGGAGACCCTACACCATTTTTGACAAATGGCAGTTTAGTCTGTTCTTGAAAGCCTCCAATGATGAAGCTCCTACAACTTCTGAAGGCAAGCTGTTCCATTGGTTAATTATTCTCACTGTGAGAAAATTTCTCCTTATTTCTAGGTTGAATCTCTCCTTGATCAATTTCTATCCATCATTCCTTGTCTGGCATTCGGGTGCCTTGAAAAACAGCTTGACCTCTTCCTCTCTGAGCAGCCCCCCAAATATTGGAACATTTCTATCATGTCTCCCCTGGTCCATCTCTTCACTAGACTAGCCATGCCGAGTTCCTGTAATCATTCTTCATATGTTTTAGTCTCCAATCCCCTAATCATCCTAGTTTCTCTTCTCTGCACTTTTTCTGGAGTCTCAACATCTTTTTTATAGTCTGGTGACGAAAACTGGATGCAGTATTCTAGGTGTGGTCTTCCTAGGGCTTTATAGAGTGGTATTAGTACTTCACTTGATCTTGATTGTATCCCTCTGTTAATGTAATTTAGGGTTGCATTGGCTTTTTTGGCTGTCGCTGCACACTGCTGATTCATATTTAACTGGTTGTCCACAAAGACTCAAGATTTCTCTCACAGTTACCGCTATTAAGCCTGATTTCACGCAGTCTATACATGTATGGTTTTTCTTGGTTAAGTGTGAGAGTTTACTTTTCTCTACATTGAATTTCATTTTGTTAGATAGGGCCCATGTTCAAGTCTGTCAAGATCCAGATGGATCTTGAGCCTATCTTCTAGGGCAGTGATGGCTAACCTTTTTCTAAATGTGTGCCAAAATTGTACGTGCGCACACTATCATATGCCACCCACACCCACCCACCCACCTGTGCATACACGCACAAACACCCCACGTATGCATGTGTGACACATACACCCGCACTTATGGGGGGGATTTCTGATCACAAAAATCAACTTGATAAGGACTGAAATACAGTTTTAAAAGTAATGTTTGTACAGTATGCAACTATTTGGTAAAGATTACTTCAGATTTATTTTACGAATTAACTGTAGACTACTTTGATCCTCTTTAAAAAACTTGAGAAAGGGGGGAAAAAACAGAAATTGGCCCTGAAGATATAGTATAGTGAACCATAAATATGACTTTTTTTATCATTTGTATTCCACAAGAATTGTTATTTTCTATTTGCCAAGGAAAATAATAATGTTTATAGCTGTTTCTTATTTCTTATTGCTTTAATCTCAGATTAGCTAAAGGACATTTTGCTTCATGCCTCATTTCAAATGCTAAGATTACCAAAAAATAGTTTATTAAAATGAGTTGAAATAGTTGGTGCTCCAATTTAATGGCAATTCTCTTCCTTGTCACTATTTTTATTACCGCTGAGTCCTAGTGTGTCCAAATTTATTTATTTGTATTCCGCCTTTATTATTTTTACAAATAACTCAAGATGCATACCACCATAAGCACACCATCCTCCTCCTATTTTTCTCAAAACAACAACCATGTGAGATGAGTTAGCTGAGAGAAAGTGACTGGCCCAAGGTCAACCAGCTCACTTTCGTGTTAAGGCAGGACTAGAACTCACGGTCTTCCACTTTCTCACCCGATGCCTTAACCACTACATCAAACAAGTATGCTAGAATCACACTTTGTCCACTCCTGTTTTGCCTGTAGACTGAGGTAGCTCTGAGCCAAGGTAGCACAGTGATTAGAGTGTAGTACTGCAGGCTACTTCAGTTGATTGCTAGTTGCAATTCAGCAGTTCAAATCTCACCTGCTCAAGGTTGACTCAGCCTTCCATCCTTCCGAGGTGGGTAAAATGAGGACCAGATTATTGGGGGCAATAGGCTGACTCTGTAAACCGCTTACAAAGGACTGTAAAAGCACTATGAAGCGGTATATAAGTCTAAGTGCTATTGCTATTATCTGACCATTCCCCTGATTGCAGCTCTTCTTCCTATCTCCCAAGGTTATTCTCATAGCCTATTACAGTGAGCAATCAATCCACTCTGAAATGTTAAATGACACTGACACTGAAAATATACTAAGACAAAGAGGTTACAAGATATTGCTAAAATTATAAACTGCAACAATAATGATAATTGCAAAATCAGAGGCCATTGAGAGACAACCTTTGGCTCACAACTTTCTGCAACCCTCACCAGCCAAGAAACTTCTTCCGCAGTCAGTTAATCAGGTCCCCAGCAGGAAAAGAATTGTTGGTCCTTTGCCAGAAATAAACCAAACAGTGTGGCAACAGATAATTAGAGCTCTACAATATATCAGTGTCAGCCCGCTGTGTTTGGCCAGGTCAACAATCATGGCAGATTTCTTTATTATTATAGCGTACAATAACAAAAACCTGAAAGCCTGCCAGAGATTTTGCTTCCCTGTTTCTTACCAAACAATATCTAGGTGGGGTTGCTGAGAATCAAGTTAGAGATTTTCATGCTTCCTTCTTTTTCAAAAGCAGGCAATATTTTCTCCATAATGGTTTGCCTTTTGTGTTTCCCGCTTCCTAAGGCCAGGTCTACATTCCTTCACTTTATTATTAATTATTATTATTATGAATACATTCATACTGGGTGGGGTATTCTGGGATTTGAAAGTTGTTGAAGAAGAAAAACACTTGAATTACGTGTTAACATGTCGCCCACTCACATCATATGAAATTAACAGGAGGAAAATGTTATGTAACCTGAAAACAAGGCAAGTTTGCTTTTCGTATGAAAGAATGACCTTGATTCCAACTTCCCATTGTCCTTATTTTAGAAAAAGGTCTTCGTCAGTTTTCCTTTATGGTCAGTTTATAGCAGTTTTAAAATAATGGCAAAATCTTCAAAGGCCACATTGGATGAAAAATGGAAAGAGCTGGCTGGAAATGAGTGGATTTTTGTAATGCAAGCATTATCATCTTTGTTTTCAGTCTAAGACGCAACAGGAAAGGAGGGAGGGCCAAAGCAGAGGTGGCATTCTACTGGTTCAAACCGGTTCAGCCAAACCGGTAGCGGAAATCATGGGTGACCCTGCCCCAGCTCTACGGCATCCCATTTAGGCCCTTTTTTTCCACCAAAAGTGCATGCACAGAAGGCTGTGTGCATGCGTGGAGGTGGTGTGTACGAGTAAAGTGAGCGCGAGTGCTCACATTTGCAAACCGGTAGGAAGGGAGGTGAGTACCACCTCTGGGCCAAAGTACATCTGAAAATTACTATTTTACTACCCAATTTTGAGATCCAAGGATTTGGGAAGCTGCAACAGAGATGAGCACCGTCCTCTAGAATTGAACATAACTGGACAAGGGAAACCTTTTCCTTTCTTTAAAACAGAACAGGAAACTACTCTGTATATATAGGTTAAGAGGCTCCAACTAATTCCTCCCCAGTGATTTTTCCTACTGAGGTGTCTACTGCACCAGCCTGAAAAGAAACATTAAGAGGTGCCTCAATGAGGTTGAGGGGGCTGGAAAAAATTTATTTATCAAATTTATATTCTGCCCATCTCACTGGAGTGGTTGAGTGGCTGAGAGGTGGAGCTCTCACCTCACAATCAGGAGGGTTGTGAGTTCGATCCTAGGGAGCGGCAGGTATTTCTCTCTCTGGGCACCATGAGTAAATATCAGCTGTGAACTCTGCCTTGGTGACAGGAAGGGCATCCGGCCAGTAAACACTGCTCCATTCAGTTGCCCTGACTGCATCCTGGTGCAAGGGATTATGGAGTCATTTAAAGACAAAAAAAATGCTGCCTGTCTCACTCTGAAAAGTGACTCTGGGAGGCTTACAATTAAAATCATAAATGTAAAATATAGTAATAACATTAAACACAGAGGCAAGAAGCAGAAAGCTAAGACCGGTTTAGATGTTAGGTTTTACTAACATCAGGTAAGAAAAAAATTGCTATGGAGCTACGCAAAATAGTCCTTCTGCTTGATGAACCTGGACTGGTAAAGGCCTCTCTTCTCCTGTTGTATCAGTTACAAGGGAAACATACACAATTCTATTCTGCTGAGGAAATGTGCAACTCTTATTTTGCCCTGTGTACAAAATCATGTTATCAGTCTCATGTTCTCACGTGACCTCACCAGGGATTGCTCTGTCCAGTTACCTGACAGAAACCCCCCTGCAAGAGATTTGCTTCCAAGTACACACAGCTAAAATTGCACTGTAAACACACAGCAATCATCAATATGAAAGAAGTAGAAAGCTAAGATGATCCCTTAGCATTTAAACATATTCCTTATTACTACATGACTGTGCGGTTATTTTGGATCTATTTCTCTAGGATCTATTTCTAAAGCACATATTTAAAGCAACCAACTGCTTGATAAACTAAACATCTGCTTTTGTATTATTTATGGTTTAAGTCAGTGTTTCTCAACCTTGGCAACTTGAAGATGTCATTCCCCAGCCAGCGAATGCTGGCTGGGGAATTCTGGGAGTTGAAGTCCAGACATCTTCAAGTTGCCAAGGTTGAGAAACACTGGTTTAAGTAAAAGTATTTCAGCGAAAGAGACGCATGCCAAGATTGGTTTGGAATTTCCCTTGGGACTGAGATCCACATATTTTTCAAAGTTCATAAAAGTTTTATATATATATGGATTCATTCACATATTAAAGACAGCTTGTGCTGTCTCGTTTTCATCTGTTCCTGTCTTTGCATTGTAATGTAATAACATAGTTGAATCAGTGTATTTATTACACTACAATGCAAAGACAGGAACATGAAAATTAACCTCAATTTGCTGAGTTAAATTTTGGAGCATCAACTACATTAATTAAACTCAATTAGCTTTGTTAAATTTTGAGGCATCTTCTATTTTTCAGTCCTTCAACTTTTTTGTAATTACATTACATGCATTTGAGTGACACATGTAATATATATCATATATCTCTAGAAGTAAAAAAAATGACTAGCTTATAAGAATAAAGGATATCGTATTTTGCAAACGTTGTTGTTAGTTGCAAAGTCGTGTCCGACCCATCGCAACCCTATGGACAATGTTCCTCCAGGCCTTCCTGTCCTCTACCATCCTCAGGAGTCCATTTAAGCTCACACCTATTGCTTCAGTGACTCCCTCCATCCACCTCATTCTCTGTCGTCCCTTTTTCTTTTGCCCTCAATCTTTCCCAGCATTAGGCTCTTCTCCAGTGAGGTGGCCCTCCTTCTCATTAGGTGGCCAAAGTATTTAAGTTTCATTTTTAGGATCTGGCCTTCTGAAGAGCAGTCAGGATTGATCTCTAGGATTGACCAGTTCGATCGCCTTTCTAGACAATTTTCCACGGCTACAAAGCAGGCATAAAGCAAAAAAGCTAGAAGAGGTATACACCTGGAGTGCGATAAATACTTTAAAATAAGTCACAGCTCCTTGAATTTTGTACAGAGGGGAAATAGCTCCCATCAGGAGGGAAGTTTTAGGGGAAAGGTAATGCTCTTATTTCTAAATCCACAAGTATGCCAGAGGCAATGATATGGAGAATGAATTACCTATCAGGGGCACAAGTTAATTTGTGCAGTGATGTTTTCAGATCTCTGCCCTGGGAAATGTAGATTTCTTATTTTTGCATTTCTGTTAGAAGCACAGAGGCTCTTCCAGGGTTGAAAGGATTAGCTGGTGACATCACTGTTGCCCTGAGGACACCTAGTTGTGGGTTCCTTTCA